CGAGGGTGGCCCCTTTCTCCACCCGGGGCAGACTGAGGCCTCCAAGAGGCAGCATCTCACTGCCCTGCTGCTTCCCCTTCCAGGGCGGCTGCCCGCCCTCCAGACGGTCCGCCACGGCTCCAAGGCTGTGACCCGCCACTGGCGCGTGATGCACTTTGAGCGGCAGAAGCTGATGGCTGTGACGAAGTATATCCCCCCGAAACCCGCGATCAATCCGCGGTGCCTGACACCTCCCCCCAAGCGCGTCCAGGAGGTAAGAAGACGGGGCATGTCACTTGGCGGTGGTGTGGAGGTGAAAGCGGTCTTATATCCGCGACCATAGTGACGTGGGGTTCCAAGACACAGTCATCCACACCATTACTTCCTCGCTTTGGCCCATGGCCCAGATGCTTTAAAGTGAAATGGTCACTTGATTTGGCTTTGGCCCTTTGGCCTCTGTGGATTGGACGGGTCTCCTGAATTTCCCTCATTCCCAGCTCCATGCTGTCCAAGTGTGTGGTGGTGGCGGCCGGGTAGTTGGGGAGAGTATCGCTGTCCTGTCTTGAAGGACTTGAAGCTTTCATGTTTTCCTAGAAGAATGATAGAGGTTTTCTGTTTTTAAAAAGAACAGAAAGACCAGTGGGTGAGTTTGACTATTGTGCCCTTGAAATGAGGTTAGTGTGACTGAGGATCTGAATTTTTAATTGTATTTAATTTTAATTAATTTAAATAGAAATAGCCACATTTGACTAGTGCAGTGATGGCGAACCTATGACACGCGTGTCGGAGGTAAATAAATATCAAAAATATACATCTTTGTTTTACTATGGTTGCAAAGATCAAAAAATTTCTAGATGTGACACGGCACCAGAGTTAAGTTAGGGTTTTTCAAAATGCTGACACGCCGAGCTCAAAAGGTTCGCCATCACTGGACTAGTGGCTGCTGTATTCTACAGGGCCGATCTAGAATCTAGATTTAGCACAGTAGTGAATCTTCCATTATTTTGCCTTACATGTATTAACATTTTCATGGAATTCTGCAAACAGCAACATGACTTCTAGGTCAAATAACGTTGACTGGGTCAGACTGCTGACCAGATCGGGGGGATCAGTTCTCAGGTTGGAAAAACACTGCTCTATTGACCGATCCTCTAATGAAAATGAAAGGGTAGACTGGGGGGTGGAGCATGTCTCTGGGAGTCAAGGGCCCGACTATCCTGCCTGTACCTGGTCTTTCCCCGCATTTGGGCCTCGTGGGAAGCCCGGCACGCATCCCTGCGGGAGCCGAGGGGGACAGAGAAGCAGCAGCTTATGTCCCCTTGGCTGTCCCTGATTTCAGGAGACAGGCCTCATCCGGCTCCTCCGTCGGGAGGTAGCAGCAGTTTTCCAAAACAACCGAATGATAGCCGTCTGCCAGAATGTGCCTCTGGGTGCGGAGGACAAGCTGTTTATGCAACACCGGCTGCGGAAACACAATATCTTGGTGAAGGCCTTCCCTAACCAGGTAGGGAGCCGTCTACCATGGACCCTGCCCGTGCTCCCCTTCCCCTGCCCACACAGACCCAGCATCTCTCCCCAGAGGGCACTTCCGACTCCTCCCCTCCACTAGCAGCTCTCTCTTCTGGTGCCTACACTGCGATTAGGGGCTGAGGAGACCCTCTGGTTTCACCCTTAGCTGATGTGGCCTGTGACCAAGGTGGGCAGCTCTTCCTCCCACTCGTCCCCAGTGAACCCTTCTTTCCTGCTGTTCCAGATCCTGAAGCCCTTCCTGGAGGATTCCAAGTACCGAAACCTGCTGCCCCTTTTTGTGGGGCACAACCTGCTGCTGGTCAGCAAAGAGCCCAAAGTCAAGGAGATGGTGCGAATCTTGAAGGGTGTGCCCTTCCTGCCACTGTTAGGTGAGCAAGCTCCCCTGCCTGTTGGGGGTGGGGTGAAGGGAGCGGGTGCTATAGCCGCCTAGTGCCAGCTGCTAGGCATGAGTGCGTGAGACCGTGGACATCTTTGGAGAAGACATCCTCTCCCAGATGGGGCCTCAGTCAGCATCACCATTTGTCAAGGGCTGCCTGTGTCTTCTAACACCTGTGTTGGCTCACTGCCTGCATCGCTTATGCATGGGGGAAGGTTAGGAAAGGCAGAGAGGACTCTACTGGGGGAGGAAGTTCAGACACCTTGAGTCTTTACTAGGTGCTAAAACCCACAAAGATAATTAAAACCAATAGCCCAAGTATAGGGTGCTGAGGAACAGGCAGCAACGTTTCCCAGACTCCCCTGGTACTAAGAATCCCTAGAGGTCCTGTTTCTGTATAGGATACTGATTTCATAGGTCTCTGTGGGAAGGGGCAGGAATCAGTTTATAACCGCCCCCCCATACACACACACACATACTCACATACTCCATGGTTCTTCAAGAAAGTTTAGGGAACAGCGACTTAGTGGGGATCGGACCAGGTGGATGATTTATGTAAGGATTTTCTAGAGAAGAGTTAGGAAGGAGGCGAGGGGATCCGTCCCAAACACAGTGTGAGTGGGGTGGGGCACAAGTGGGAGCCAGATGGGAGGTAGAGAAGGGAAATGGAGAGCAATTCCTAGGGTTGGCATGTTGTTTCGGAGAGGAAAGGCATTGTGGGGAGCCCCCTGACCCTGTGTTTTTCCAGGTGGCTGCATTGATGACACCATCCTCAGCAGGCAAGGCTTCATCAACTACTCCAAGCTTCCCAGCCTGGCCCTGGTGCAAGGGGAGCTGGTAGGAGGGCTCACGCTCCTCATGGCCCAGACCCACGCCCTGCTTCAGCACCAGCCCCTCCACCTGACGGCCCTGTTGGATCAGTACGTCAGACAGCAGCATGAGGGGGACTCTGTCAAGCCAGCCACTGGGCAGCCCGGTCCTCCCGACTCTGTTCCGGACTCATAGCCGGCCGGCCCGTAAACACACCTGCCCCACTGGCCGTGCTGTCCTCGGGAATGTGGGTGAACTCGGGGTGGGAGTGGCACGTGTTCCCTGGCTTCTACTGACGACAACCTCCTCCAATGAAGGATTTCATTTCAGAATGGAGGCTTTTAATCACCGTCTTTGCCCTTCGTTTTTCCAACCTGCGACCTGATAAGAGCAGAGTGTCAGCTCCAGGTTCAAGGCAGAGCAGCTGGGCAGATGAGGATACTGCCCTCTGCCTCCTGTTTACTGTCCCTTGGACATGCCTCCCCAGCCTGACCCTCGCTGTCAGAGTAGCTCAGCTGAGTAATTGTTCTAAGAATGGGTTCTGTGGAGAGCCTGCTGTGCCAGGCTGCATGCTAACCCTTTCTAGGTGTTAGTTCTTTTATTCCTGGGGCAGAGAAGTTACAGCGCCTGCCCAAGGTCATGCGGCTGGTAAGTGGCAGAACAGGACTTGAACCAGGCTCTGCTCTGAGACGTGCTCTGGATTCTGGAGCTTCCTCAGTGAGGTCCCGGGTGGGCTTGGATGTGAATTCTCCATCCGCGGGTGTGCCGTGTTGTGGAAAGGCTGGGAACACTGCTTTATGACAAAAATAAATGCATTTTACTTAGTCTGTTTTGCTGTTTACAAACTTACCTTCCTGTCCACTTATCCTCAGGCTCATCTCTGACTCTCACTTCCCTTCCTAGAAAATCCTTCCTCTCCCGTGTCCACGCCTGTTACTTCCCTGTCCCCACACCCACAAGTGGCATCCCCACAGGCTTGTCCTTGGGAGGCAGCCACCAGCTCTGCCCAGCAGCTACCATGTCTCAGGTGGTTCTGAGCAGAGGAGCTGGGGGGCAACCAGCATTCTGCGAAGATGAGGGGCTTTGGGGTCTCTTAAGTAGAAGGTGTCATCCAAGTCCTGGGGAACAAAAGTGCCTAATGAAGGAGAGAGGATGTTTAACTAGAAGCTGACCCCTGCCCTTGGCGCATGCGCTGGGTGGACGCAGGGTGCGTGGGGAGGGTGGCTGTTGAGCTTTCCTCCTGGACTTGGAACAGCGCCTGGCTCCCCGGGGCCTGGGCAGGCACCACGCTGGCAGCGGCGCTCTGCAGCAGCTTCTCTGTGGCCTGGTCTAGGACCAACTGCCCAGAGCCCAGCTCTGCTCCGGACACCCAGGATGCTCAATCAATGTGAAATGCGTTAAAAGGCCCTTGAGGCTCACGGGTGCCAGAGCTGGTCTGCACAGAGCTGCCCCGACTCCCAGAACCACAGGTGCAACGGCGCCCTCCTGGGGCAGAGAGCTGAGCTGAGGTTCTGAATGGCGCAGCGAGCAGGCTTCTGAGAGGTGTAACACCATGAGGAGTGGCCTAAAGCATTTCTCCCCACATTGCATCCTATACCTGCTGGCGGAGCCCGGAGCCCGAGGCCCCACCATTAAAAACCCACTTTCCAGAAAGAGGCTTCGCTGCACTTAGAGCTGTCAGTCAGTTTCACATTCATTTCAGTGGAGTTTAGACCTTTCTCAAGAGCTGACTTTTAATTAGATTTGAGCACTCCAGCAGGGCAGAGGTGCTCAGAGGGAGGGGACTCAAGTGGGCTCCAGCCAGCCCTTAACGGCCAGCCGGTCCCCACCCCTGCCCTGCTCCTGGTGCAGGGACAGCAGGCTGCGGGCTTTGTCTCGCCGCAGAGGTGCTTGGAGTCCCCCATCCCAGGGCGCCAGTGGCAGCCTCTGGGGGGCCATCCGCTGGCTCTTTTGAGCCTTGACTGCCCTGCTGACTACGCTCTTGGCACTGTCTAAAAGGGGCATCCATCCCTCCCCATCAACCCGATACCTTTGCTGGCTCCAAACTTTGCAATCTATTTTCAGATGTAAAATGAGAGGCAGGAGTTAATAATAAAAAAAATGGACGTGGGTACCAACGGGTCAAGGCCAACTCGAGTCTGAGTAAACCCTCTCCCACCACTGGCGTGAGGCCAGCAGCTCCCCAGTCCTCTGTAATCCCTGGGAGCTGTGCCCAGTGGGGTCCCTGCCCCTGTTCCCAGGCCTCAGCTCTGGGGAGTCACTCAGCCCTGAGTCCTCCCGGGAGCAGGGGGGCAGAGCTGAGCAGCTGCCCAGAGCTTGGCGGGAGGAAGAGCGGGGGAGGGGACGGTGGGGAGATCCGGCGAGAGGGGAGGCTCCTCGGTCTCCTTCCTTCCTGGTTCCTGCAGCAGCCGGTGCCACTTGGCTCCATGAGGAGGGAGCGGGCGACTTGGAGACGGTGACTCAGAGGCAGAGCTGCGTGCGGGCCAAGGAGCACTGGCGCCCATGGACCCTGCGGTAAGGGGCCGAGTCAGCTGACCTGCCTCCCACCTGCAGCTGGCGGGTCTGCTCTGGAGAAGGGGACCGGCATGGAGGTGGAGACGGGGCACACTCACCTGACTCACCTCGACCCCACACCCTCCAATGACAGAGCCTCTCCCTCCGCCGCCAGCAGTGCGGGGCCAGGATCCCACGGGGCCAGGGAAAGGGCACAGGGACACCCCAACACTGGGAGAGTTTGGGAACTTTCAATGGCTGAATGCGGGCATTTCCCCCCGGGTCAGCCTCTGGCAGCCTGGGCCCCTCTGCCCCCACCTCCCGGTCACCCCTGCCCCAGTCACCCCTGCCCCGGTCACCCCTGCCCTGGCCACCCTTGCCCTACCTCCCTACCTGTCCCTGTTCCCTGTTGCCTCAACTCCTCAGGTGCTTACAGGCTTCACAGAAGATCTGAGCGGTTTCCCCAGCCTCGGGCCAACCTTGCCCCTCCAGTCCCCTCCCCCGTCTCACACACACAGAGCCTCATGCATTATTGATCTCCCGGTGCAGCCAGGATGGCCTGAGCTGGTGCCAAGGGCGCCAGTGGGCACCGCTGCGGGGACCTGTGCGGACCTCGGCATGCTCTTGGCCAGCTCTTCTCCGCCCCCCACTTCCTCACCATCTCCATCCGCTCGGTCCCCTGCTCTCCGGGTGGGTGGTACTTGTCAGGACCCCCAAGGACTGGGGTGATAGAGAGGGGATGGAGAGGCTTTGGGGGACACTGAGCATCTGAGGTGGGCATCCTAGGGGGCTGTTGGAGGGGAGGAGGCACAGGGAACAATGGGGGCTGTCTTGGGCCTCAGTTTCCCCATGCAGAAAATGGGAGCCCAAGAACTAGAGGATATGGGGACCAGTTAGTGGGGAACTGGGGTGAAGGGGTTGGGGGGCTCTGCGTTGGGGAGGAGGTCATGGTAGAGGAGTCTCCGGCCATGGTGGTGGCGGTGCGGGGTCCTGAAGGAGGAGCTGGATGAGATCTTGCTTGAATAGGCTCTGAACTCCTCTGGCCTTTTCTGGAGCCTCTCCCTCCACTCCTCTGCCTCACTCCGATCCTCCCAAGGAAGCCTTCAGAGAAAGCTCCCAGTGTTTCCTGGAGACCAGGAATGTGTGCTCAGGGTGGGGCTGGGTGGACTGTTCCTGGTTTTCTCTGGGCACTGCCTGCCTCTCTGCACTATCTCAGTGGCTGCGGGAAGGTGGAGGCAGGAAGGTGGAGGCAGGGAGACCCATCCTCGGTGGGGGAGGACTGACCAGGAGAGGTGGGACGGGAGCTGATGCTGGTGAAGTGTGGTCCTAGAGGGTGCAGGACAGGGTGGCGGTGGAGCAGACGCTAGCAGGAACCCAGCTAATGAGTCTCTCTCTCTTGCTTCAAGGGCCCCCTCAGGACAAGGCGGCATCCTTCCCCTTCCCCCCGGCTCTGAGTCCTCAGCAGGGAAGGGCCGCTCCTTCTCCATGGACTTCCAAGAGCGGGGTCCCCCCTCGCTGTCCGAGAGCACTCAGTCCGCAAAGTCCAGCAGCGCCCAGCAGGTCTGAGGGCGGGAGGCAGGCAGGGGGTGGGCTTTATTTGGCCCAAAGGGCCCTCACCAGCACCCCCCCCCCCCCCCCCACACGCCCCCCCCCCGCCTCCCG